GGTGAAAATCGCAAATCTCATTCTTTATTTGGTGCTGAGTTATTTAAAAAATAACCACTGCTCTTATATTTTGGCTCCGATAGTAGTAGTAGATGGTACGAAAATGGGTATTTCTATATTCTATCCTTTGTATTTAAAGTATAATTAGAACAAGTTGAAGACAGCCTCATCAATTACTTCTACTTGTTTGTTTAGTGATAAATATGATATGATAGAGGATTTTTATTCGAAAACGAATAACAAAAAGAAATACAAAAAAGACTATGCTTTATTTTTTAAATTAATTGTAATATGTGCTTCGACTCTAAAAAAACAAACATATTTATGAAAATTTTACATTGAAAAAATCATTGAAAGAAAAAACTTATTTGAATATTTGAAGAAATAAATGATCAAACACTCAGTATGAACAGAAAAGACAAACATTAATGTTCTTTGTATTAAAAATAAATTTTTGATTGCATTGGAAAATATAAATATCATGAATAATCAAAGGTATTTAAGTTCAACATGGAATAGTCGCAAAAAAAAGCTTATTGACTAGAAAAATAAGAAAAATGTTAATTTTGACAATAATAGGTGAGAATAAATTAATCAATATGTCTAAATCATACATTATTTAAACAGGATTCCACGGAATGACTAATGAAAGAGATATTTTTAAAAAAGCAACATTATCTTATTTCTTCTCTTTTTCTAGTATGATATAAGCTGAAAGAAAAGCGATTTATCAAAAAAAAAAAAAAACAGCACCGAAAAGATACATCATTTATTTGCGTTGATAACAGCAACAAAAATTCAAAAATATAGGTTTTTGAAAATGAATATTGAAACCATCAATTTCCACTATTACAATCTAGTGTAAGATTTGTTATCGAATTAATAAAATTCTCAGCAAATTTGGCTGCCATCAATTCTGTTTCCTAAAACAGAGCCAAACGTATTATTTTCTTGCTTCCGTTTAAAATTACAGTTAGTTTTTCTATTTCATCCTGAACTAGCGTACATTATGATTTAATCGAAAAATAGTGAATATTTTACTTTTTCGTTTTCTTCATTCTTGGTAAAGAGTGATAAACGTTGCAATGGTCCATAGGATTTCTTAGATAAACAATCAATCGATTCAACATCACTATCACGAACAAAGCGGCCTAATGCATCTATATGTGCCATTGATAATTTTCTGAAAAACCAAGAATAGCTCATGAATTATCACGACTATTCACGTATATGAGGAATTCTCGCTATTTACCCTTTCAATTTGACATTTTCTTGGCTTTGTGATGAGGATGTGCTAACGTTCCTTCGTCGTTGTTGTTTCGTTCCTTCAAGTGATAGTAACTGCTGCTGATCGGAATTACCGTGTGCAGTTGATGTTTCTGAGTTAATTGAATTCGTATCTACAAGAGTAAAAATATTAAAGTACTCATTATTTTTACAAAGAGAATATTTTCTAACCTGACTCATCATTTTTGATGAATGTTGAACATACACCGTCTTCATTGCGTAATTTGTGCATTAAATCAGCCATATAACGGCAGAATATGTCGCTTCGTAGAAAATTTGAAAAATATTCCTGAAAAGTAGAAAAAAAATCTTCTGTCAAATATTAGTGAGAAAACAACAACATAACTTGATATACCCGACTAAGAATACTGTAAACAATCCATGCAGTTTGATCAAATGTATCCAAGGATGGTCCAGCGTTCATATCTTGTTGACATATACTACATTCGATTCGAGCACGGATAGCATCATCGAAACCCAAACGATTTGGAGCTTGTAGACTTATATATCTAACAAAAGAAATACATGGAATACCATGGAAGATTAAATATTGAATTACTTACTGTTCATAAATGTTCAATGCACTTTCTGCTAGTGTTTGATTATCAGTCATTCGATTAAGAGTATTTTGATAATAATTTTCAGCAGCCAACCAAAAACGAATTAGATCAATTGTATGTTTCTGATCAACAAACTATAGAATAAAAATTTGTCCTATTTATCTTATTTTACTGAATATCCAGAACGTTTCGATTACCTCCATAAAATAAAACAATGACAAATCATTATAAAGTATGTCGTACAATTGTAAATCAGAATTAATTAACACTTTTAATTGGTACTTAAAATGGTAGGCGCTTGACAAATAAGATTTGTAGGAACTAAAACAAAATTGTGATGTAAATAAACGGCTGAAAATTGTTTAATCATGTATAAAACTCACGTTTGTTCAATAAGTTTCCATATAAAATCTTTAGCTATTTGGAAACAATTTGGTTCTAGATTTAGACTTTTCGTTGTTGGACAGATTAAACCTAATGAAACAAACAAAATTACTCATTTTTAAATTCTAGATTCCTAGAGAAAAGACAACTTCAGATACCGACACAATGTTGCGCGACGGGATTCATCATCAATTGGCACTGGATATTTTGCATCTAACGCAAGATATTTTTGAAATAGATTTAGAGCATCTATTCGCTGTTGACTACCTAGTAAAATAAACGCAACAACAAATGAGTCAATAATATGAACATCTATTTACGGGTCAGAAAATGTGGGTAAATACTTAAAAACACATATTTACACGTACTGTCATTGTTTTCTTCTTGTTGCCTTTGTTTATGCACTTTTGTAGGTGTTTTGAGCGTTCGGTTATTATTTGTATTTGCCACATCTAATTTTGTTACTTTTTCAAAGACATGTACATCAAGAATAAATTTTAAATGACTCGATAAACCACATGCATCCATATAAAGAACAAAAAAATTTAACTCATCATTGGGCGTATAAAGAAGTTGATAGAGAGATCGATTCAATCTTGAACAACGGAATGAGGTTAATTCTGATGATACAGTACATTTACCTACAGAAGCACATAATAAAAACAGTCAATAGATTGGTTTCTGTTAAACTAGTTTCATGAAAATCATACCAGATTGTATAGCTAAATCACGATAGTATGGCAAACGTTGGATGAATGGCAAATTCTCATTGACACAATGTGTTCGACTCTTGCTTCGATCGCGTCTTTTTTCTAAAAGAAATATCGTCAAAAATACCGAAACAAAAACAAAACCACTTTGTTACCTTTACTGTCATCAGTACGAAAAAATGACATGGAGATACCGTAGAGATTTACATCTAAGATTAAACAAATTGAAGGATAAAAAGGAGGGATAAACGCAAAAGTTTACGCATTACGTTGTTGTTGTCGGCAATCAACAGTTGATCAATTTATTGCATTATTAACGTACAATAGCGCTATGTCCAAAAGACTACTTCAAAACAAACGGCGCATGTAAACCATAAATAATACAAAAAACGCTTCTAAATCAACTCTTACTACATAAACTGATATTTCTTTTTCTAATTTATACGCTCCTTCCTGCGTCGTCAAAACTGTTTTTTCCATACGTATCGTCGCAAAAAATATGATCTTGGGTTCAACAACAGCGTGTAAGAACAAACCGTCATATTCTATTATGTCGATCTATTAATCTTTTAGTCTTCAACAAACGCTCAATAGCCCATATTTGGTTATATCAGTCATTTTTTTTCATCAAAGATAAACTACCGTCGAGTTCTAAGAAAAACAGAAAAAACCTTAATTCATCAAATTACGAAAGTTACACATTGATTCTTCTGCCCCAAATCCAATTGTAAGTCCTTTTTGAAGAGTAAGAGAAAGAAAGTCTCTAAACACTATCAAAATCAATGACACAAAATTCGTGGCAAAGACATAGTACTTTTTACAATGTCGCATTTTTTCTGTTGAGTACAACGTATAACGCAGCACATCTTTCTTAGTGGATCACACATCAAATATAGAGGGTGAGGGGTGAGGGTGGGTGGTATGCATAGTGATGTATGCGTAGTGCGATCTGTGGATCTATACGTTGCTTAATATAAGTGTATAGAGAAAATGAAGATTGAGAAAATTAGGATGTAGAAAGCATATAGTAGTGTTTAAAATAAAAACGCTTGCACAAACGTTTATTTATATTTCATACTATTGATATGTTGATTTTGTGATTGTATTCCAGAACAAAAAAGGAAGTGGCTCACTCCATGAAATTTCCTTTCTGTTTGTCACAGCTTCCTTTCGGTAAAAAACAAAAGTTGGTTACTCCTCCGATGAACAGTACATAATAGTAGCAACTCTATAATTACACGTAAAATGTGTAACATAATTACACCAGTATTAATATTATTTTAATAAATATATTTTTCACAGAAAAAGTTGATATGAGAAAAGGAAACATAAATTAAGTTGTAGGAAAAACGTGATGAAGCCATTTTTGTGATCTCATATTTCCGGCTTTCTATACCTTTTTCGTTATTTTTGTTTTTAGTGGATGGAAAAGCAAAGAGCTGAGACAATTCAGCGAGTTGTACTCGTTTGTGCGCCATTGCTAACTTATATTCAACAGGGTCAAAAAGCGACGCCACCATCAAATGATATTTTTTTAGAAATGTGACGACGATTAACTGATGCGTTTTTCTGATGAATTCATCATTCACTTTGATGAACTGTTCGGTAGACGTATTTTATTTTTCCAGTTTAATGACTTTGAGTCTGGCCTAATTTCTTTTTTTGTAATAGGTGTTTTTGGCTTTTAATACAACTCCCTAGTGAATGTACTCAAGTGTGAGTACTCAAAAAGTACTCTGATAGAAAAACCGGACGAGTACTCATACGTACTCATACATTTTTTTACTCAATGAGTACTCACCTGAGTACTCATGAGTGAGTAACAAGTACTCTGAGTACGACTTTGAGTACTCATGCTTGGGTATTGTTGAGTACT